GGTAATATTCGGACGCTTTTATCTGTTGTTTATCTTTAAAAAAAACGGTTTTTGAACAACATTATTTAAGGCTTAAAGTAAGTACAAATGCATTGGCGTGTCTGTTATAGTTCGTAACTTTTTCAGATAATCATAAATTCAATATTATACCCTGTATTTAAATAAATATTTTCCATCGTTTCTATGCCTTTTCTTTGAATTGGAATATCTTAAAGGACAGGTGAAGCCGTAGAAAACAACGACTCATCGTACCTACCCTCATCTATGTGTTGAGCGACTCTCACTAACATTACATAATATAAACATGCCACGTTCGTAAACCATGATATATCATATTTGGTAATTTAATATTGTATAAAATGCATAGTAAAGATAAATATATTTCATTTGATTTACTGTCATTTTCCTTTTAATTATAAAATAGCGAAGGTTTAAATCTTTGACTTCGACCTTAATGATTCATTACGTTCTATACGTTAACACGAACGACGATGCTACAACTACACCTGTCCTCTAAAGGAAAATTTGTATTGACATATTTATATGTAATTTTTATGTAAGAGAATACCAGTATTTGCTTAAAGTTGTCATTATTTTATTTATTGGCGTAACACAAATTAGCATTTTGTTCAAGAGTGCCACTAATCATATTTCATAACATGTACATAAAGTAAAATAAAACGTTTAATTTAGTCCATCATTGCCAACATTATAAAAACAAATTTATTTTTTGTATTTTTATTATAAAGGTGATTATAGATGAGTTTCCTTTCACCCTTAACATTTCAGTTATATATTGAGATGATTTTGATCTATAAAACTAACATATCTACATGTACTGCATAATTTTAATCGAATATTTTAAATTATTTTTTTTAAGATTGTAGATTTCTCAAAAAGGGACTTTCTGATGGCAAAACTCAGCGCAACTCTGGAAATCTAAAAGGCGATTTTAAAAATGTTCAAGTTTATATTAATGTTTTATTTCTTATTGAAACTGTTAATGATAAATAATTTGCATTGGATAGTCAGACTGGTTGGCTGAGTTGTGTTGCTGTTGTTAAGAGATTGAAAACATTGTGCTTCACAAAAAGACTTGTAACAGTTTTTAAACTATTTTTCCATCCTCAAGGCTTAGTGGCTAGGGCGCTCGACTCGCAATCTGTAGATCGCGGGTTCGAATCCCGTTACCGAACCTGCTCACCCTTTCATGCGTGAGGGCGTTATATAGTGATGGTAAATCCCACTTTTCGTTGGTAAAGAGTAGCCCAAGAGTTAGCGGCGGGTGGTATTGACTAACTTTATTTTCTCTAGTCTATCACTTCTAAATTAAGGACGGTTAGCGCAGACAGCCCTCGAGTACTTTTGTGTGAAATTAAACAAATCCATCCTGAAGAGTAAAACATGAAGTGTTAAAATAGCATATGAATAAAAATTGAGAAATGTGTGCAACGAAGTACAATCAGATATTCTTTATTATAAAAAAGTGTATTTGTAAAGGTGAATTTCCATTACGTGCTTTTGAGATAACCAAAGAAGTAATAAATGTAGTGCTTATACTAGAACGAGTATTTGAAGTTCTTGTGAGTAATGAATTTTAATAATAGAGCTTTTAATAAATGAGATGTAGTGATAAACTCGCACAAAACTTTACTTATAAACTATACGATTTGTTTTAGATTAATGGAATATTTTATCATATTCTTTTTACGTCATCCTGTTTTTGAATTGCATAATGTGCTTAATAAGAATATGTTTGAACAACAGCGAACGTTTAAAAATATATTTTAAAACATGCTATATTTTATGGTGCTGCAAAACTGTTGTAACACGATATTTCTCAATAAAAAAAAAAACCTATATTAAAGGACAAAGGAAAACGTGAAGAATTTGATCGTTATGGTTTAAATGTCTTTATAGTACATACAATACTCATTTTCCAAGAAGAAGAATGATGTATGGGAAAAGTACGACTTCTTTTCAAAAAAATAAAAAAAGAGGCGTTGATCCTATATTGCTTCGAAGATATAGTATCGTCCGTCTTAACATGCAGAATAGATTAAATACCATTTTCCCAAAATCAAAGTTTAAATACTAAATCTCTAGTGATTACCATGGCAGTAAAATCAAATTAAAGATAACTGTAGTTTCTACGTAATTTGGACATTGCTAAACAGTCAGAAATCATAGTTTACAGACATTATATAAGGTTGAGTACGTTACATTAAAAACGATTTTGAATATATGTAAATCGGCGAGTCACGTGACAACCATAGTTGATATAAAATCACAGTTGAACAGAAATGTATCATAACTACATTTTGACATTGTTTGGCGTTTCGTATGTAACGTGATGCCATTGAAAACTGATCACCTTCCAACGTAATATATTCGTATACTCAGTTCGTAAAGAAGCATTCAGCTCGGAGATTTATAATTTCTAAGACTATGATATCCCTTGTACTTAATGATACTGAAAAACAATAGAATACGGATCAACTTGAAGACAAGGATCGTCCACAGAAAAAAGACCCGCAACAAGTCACGTGCTCCTGCCATGGTAAATAAGGTGTGGCATCTGACAATCTACGAAGATAAAAATCAGGGGCAAAAGCCGTCCACATGCCCCAGGCAACAATACACAAATATAATCAAGAAGGATTTCCATCTGGAACCGAAACTAACAAGGTGTGGGTTCATAAAAATAAAACTTTCAGTTATACCTGCCATTCAAAAGTGTCAAGCAGCTCGAGAATAACACGTATTCATGCTATTCCATGCAAAGAAATATTAGTAAGTCATGAGATGCACTACCTAAAGACTTTTGTTTGACCAAACTGTTGAAACAGGCGCTGGAAAACTGTCATCTTCGTACACTAGATGGATTATAGAAACCATGCAGGAGGAGTGGTGTGCTTTACAACAAAGCTCTTTTTTTATGTAAACTATGCTACAGGGCTATTATCAGGATTCAAGATCGCCAGATAGAGTATGACCGGACATGGTAATATGGAATGTAACGACATGGTGAGGTTCGAAATATCATTATATACAATATTGCTCCAGTAAGATCACCTTATGTCAGCCATAAGTAAAGTCCTTATTAGTATCTATTATCTATGCAAATTTTAACCAGTATTAGGGGCAAAAGTTTTTTGGGGAAAAAAAATCTTGACTTAGAGATCAATCATTGAGATATTTTAGCTATTGTGTCATTTCAGTACATGTGACTAGAATAAAGCAAAACAAATTCCATTTATATAATTTTCAAAGCACTATAATGGCTTGCTTGCTTTCCTTACATACTTAGTCTAATATTTACTCTAGGCAAATATGTCCATTTGCTGCATGACAATGTAAAGTCACGAAATAATATTAGAGGTAGAATTTAACCAAATACACAACAGAACATCTTGGAAGAGTATTGTTTAGTGCTGAATTGATCAGTTGTGGATATCTACAAGATCACTGTACTTACAATAAATTCAAAGAAATTAAATCACTTAAAAGTTGAGATGGTCGAGTACATTTATTCCGGATGTTTCAGTATATTTTTATTTCAGTATCCACTGTGCATAAAGTAATCACAGCATAACTGCCTAGTTTTTGGCTGTATTAGATGCTGAAAAAGTTAAATGATATTGACCATAATGTTTAACAACTACAGTTTCTACACATTCAAAACTGATTAAAATATTTAACTCAATTTTAAATAGCATATAACACTGGGTTTATTGGAAAAACGTTGTATACAAAATGTTTTGCTGAAGTTAACTCAGCAGTATCAACTGTAGCAAAAAATCAAAGGATTTGTTTGTTATTAAATACAAAGCTACTCATTACTGAGACGCCAAGGGCCAGGATTCTCAAGATCTTTATACCTGTTGTAGTAGCTTTTAATTGTAAAGACTACATCTTATACAAGTACCTCTTTCTACTCCTTTTGCTTTTCATAGATACACTATACGGTCCTTTGTTATCCGGCAGTTTCGTTCCCTCTAAACGTTGATGAACACCTTCCATTGTTACTGCTTTCATCTTACTAGAGGAGGTTTATATCCTGCCAGTGGAGTTATGCTGCATTTCTCCTGTAAGCCTTTACCGTTTTTGGTTTAGCTTTAACTATGCATGGCCTGGCACTTACATCTTGGTGACGATCTTACCATACAGTAGTTTTGCATTCTGTCATCCAATCACTCTGAATAATACTATGTAATTGCTATGATGAAATTCTGGAGATTTACTGCTCAAATGTTTATTATTCACCCTGATATAAATCATCGTAAATTACAAAGTTTATAGAAAAAAAATGAATCTCTACTCCCAAACAGTCCAAACATTGCAGCAAACAGAGAGAGAGGGAACATATCATTTATACATATAAAATAGAACTCTATATGTGTTACACTTGCTGGAATGGAAAAGTGGCTCAAAGTGGTTAATATTAGGTGTCTGTTAACATCTCTAAAATCTCTTTACTATCAAATGGATCATTTATTCATCAATATTTCATAAATACAATGGTAATACATGGAATGAACAAATCAATTTCACATATTAAAATGAAAAATATTAGAAAAAAAAACACATAAAAAACCTAAGTTTTAAATACACTGCTTTCATATGATGAATTTAATGTACCACACAAGTAAATTCAGATACTTTACAATCTCATATATAAATATAACATAAATGTAACTGGAGCTTTAATTTCAGTTTGAAATGATTTTCCTTTTTTTTAGAAATTCTAAAAGGTACCACATGCAAAAAATATATGCAAAGCTTGACATTTTTAATTTTTAACTTTCAATAAAATAACTATAATTTTCATTTTCGAAAACCTGAATTTGATCTTACAAGTTCAAGTATTTATAAACAGAAAAAAACAAAAAACTCTTTAACAATAGCAATAAATACAATTAAACATGAGCAACACATGAAATGCAGTATATGTGTATATATATACAACACCACAATAATGTTTTCAAAATTACAAAAGGGGAGTAGCAATAGCTCCATACTTATTATTTGAAAACTGTTTGGAATTATGAAATAGCCGAATGTATTCTAATACAAACATGTTTTCTTCATGATGCGCAGAAACTCTTCTTGGTTGACTTCTCCATCCCCATCTCTATCGGCTTCTTCTATCATCTCCTGTAATAGAAGGCAGAATTAGAAGCATATATGTATGTACATATCCAAGTTTCATCTTAAAGAATTTGTGAGCAATAAGTAGGCCTACACGGGATCATAACTATTAGTCTAATTGGTTTAGCACTGTTATACAATATCAAATCAGCTTCAACCCCTTTCTTTCTGATTTTCTTTCCACTTTTTCATCATTATCATTAAATTTTCAGTTTTACTTTGAGCACGTGTCATTATCGTTTTTATTTTTACCAACATAATCCCACTTCTGACAGCAGCATTGTAACTGCTTAGTCCAGACCACTTAATAATAACAACAATAATTTATGAAAGTTGACTTAAAGCTCTTAACCTTAAACAAGATAACAATATTGGAATTTTACCACTGGATAAAGAAAACACTAATATCTTTATGAACAAAGAATATTATGAAAAGAAGAAAACCAGATTATTATCTGACCCTGTATATATATATATACCTTTAAGATCAGATCCTACAAAACAAACTCTGAGGAAACTAAACAAATTTCTTACTTATAAGAGCAGCAGGGATTATGAAAGACTACTTATCAACGTTTATCTTCTCATCATTGTTCACCTCTTCCAAAAATCCACAAGCCTGACTTACCTCTATGACCTATTGTATGCTATATTGGTTCCCCAATGTATAACTCTGCAAAATTTTTGTCTATGATTTTGAAACCTTTAACTGAAATTTCCAAACACTCTTTAAGAAACTCTGAACAGTTTGTTAAGATTATTAGGGACAAAAAGGTTCATAGCTCACTTCCTTACACAACACTAATCTCAGTTAGAAATATCATCAAAATTCTGGAATTATGCTTAGAATTTAGCTATTGTCTTTGGAATGGTCAGTACTTCAAAATGAAAGAGACTTAGAATCTAGCTATTTTCTTTGGAATGGTCAGTACTTCAAAATGAAGGAGGCTTAAAATCTAGCTATTTTCTTTGGAATGGTCAGTACTTCAAAATGAAGGAGGCTTAGAATTTAGCTATTTTCTTTGGAATGGTCAGTACTTCAAAATGAAGGAGGCTTAAAATCTAGCTATTTTCTTGGAATGGTCAGTACTTCAAAATGAAGGAGGCTTAGAATCTAGCTATTTTCATTGGAATGGTCCGTACTTCAAAATGAAGGAGACTTAGAATTTAGCTATTTTCATTGGAATGGTCAGTACTTCAAAATGAAGGAGGCTTAGAATTTAGCTATTTTCTTTGGAATGGTCCATACTTCAAAATGAAGGAGACTTAGAATTTAGCTATTTTCATTGGAATGGTCCGTACTTCAAAATGAAGGAGTACTCTAATGGGCTCTCCTACTTCTACCTGTACTTGTTGTAAATTTATATTCAAGTCTAATTTTAGAAAGTACTACAGCTAGCTATCTCTTCAACTACAC